CGACTTACTCCGTCTGCTGTCCTTGGAAGTTCTTTTGAGCCAACCCCTATTTCCCCCACTTACATTCATTGATGTTCAGGAGCCGGAGGGGCCTCCATACACTGAGACCAGTTCAAAGGTAGCTCCATTTAACCAGCTGCTGGTGAGGTCTTAGAAATACAAAAGGCTCCAAAATGTTCAAGCCCAGGGCCACGGGGACACAGAATGGTACAAAAGGACAGCCCCAAAGAGAGGATGGGACAGTCAGGGACTCCTCACCTTGGGCTCATTTGTCCTGTGCAGAGGTGAAGTGTGCAAGCAAGAAAAATGCCTGCTTTGGGTCGGGGTCTTAAAGAGAATGCGACCCTTCGCTCCATCAGTTGTATTAACTTACAAAGGATTTCTGGTCTGAGATTCTTCTTTAGGACACTGTGACTAATAATTTTAGGACCATCAGCTTGTTAACTCTCTAAAATGTCTTTTTTTTTTTTTTCAGGAATTTGTCCTTGCCAAAATTTAAAAGGGAAGTGTATGCACATTAGGATGAGGTTTTCACCTTTTGTTCTCAGAAATATGGAAAATGAGGGCAGATGAAAAGGTCTGGTAATACCCACTTCTCCTTTGAGAGTTTCCCTCACTCGGGAGGTCTCACGTGTCCTTGGGGTGTGAAATGCCTTATATTTCCCCTGCTTTCCTTTTTCTTTTGGCACAATGACTGCATGTGCGGGAATGTGAATGAAGCCCATCCCCACCACACACAGGCCCTCTCCCACCACCTGCCAGCTCTCCTGCTCTGACCTCCCGGGTGCCCCTGACGGCTTGGCACAAGGGTCCTCCTGGCCTAGCCTGCGGCTCAGTTCTGTGCTGGGGAAGGGAAGCCCCCAAAGCTCAGAGCCTCCTCTCCAAGTCTTCCTCCACCATAGTTCTCCAGTGTCGCCCTGCATCCTCCTCCATCCTCCGCCTCCAGCGGGGTCACACAGCCCAGGCGCACCAGGGCCTTCCCAGTGTGCAGCCCCGAGACCCCATTTCTATGCACCCTGGAAAGGGTGATTAATTTAAAGTGAGTGGAGTCTGTTTCTTTAAGACAAGCTCATAAATCGTGAAAGATCACCACTTCTTTTCAAAAGCGTCTCCACGGTCTGAGTCTCCCTTCTGGGTCAGTAAAGTCATTGAAGCTTTAACGGCGTGCCATGGCAGATTACACGATACAGCCGTCCCAGCACCGTGAAAATTAAGTTATGCCCCGTGTCAGCAAGGGGCTTTACCCCTTTCTTCTCCCTCCCCTCCCCCACCGGGCTCCTTTCTGCTCCATTCCTTCCCACCCCATGCTCTCCCTCCACCAGCCCTGTGCGCGCGCGCTCTCTCTCCCCCTCCCTCCCCCTCTCCCCCTCCCTCTCCCCTCTCTCTGTCTCCCTCTGTCTCACTCCTCTTTCCTTCCCGAGTTGCCTCCTCCATGGCCCCTTCTGCCCTTTCACCGTCCCGCTGGGAAGCGCACATCCCGGCAGAGGCAGAAGTTGGCCCACAGGCGGCTGTGCTTTGAGCCTCAGCTATTGAGACCCAGTAAATGGAGCTGATGGGTTTCTTTTTCAGAGGAGAGCCAGCAAAATGGTGCCTTTTGTTCTCACCCCCCACACACACACACACACATGCACACATCCTGGCTTCCTTCTCCTCTTTCTTCCTCCTCTTCTTCTCCCTCCCTCCCAGATCAGACCTGAAGCCCCCATATCAACTCAACTGCCCAGAGCACAGGCAGCATCCCCCCGAGTGCAAAGACACCCCACACTTCCTGTGTGTGTTCTCCGCTCAGTCTGCTGTGCTTGTGGAGACTCTTCACCCCTGCCCCAGGTCAGAAGCAGTGGCTGAGTCTGGAGGGGAGGGCTTGGAGGGCTGTCCCCACAGACCACTGCCACCTCACCAGTACCACACCCCGGTGTGTCTCCACGCCTAACAGGTACTCAGACACACACTGCCTCTTCATAGCCCCGATGGGCCCTCAACACAGAGTAACTCATCAGAGAGAGAGAATTAACCCTTAAACATCATTCAAGTGTAGGCCTCTGTTTTTCTTTTAAAGTTTATTTTTATTATTTTAAATTACATGTACGTATGTGTGAGTGGGTATGCACATGTGAGTGCAAGTACCAGCAGCGGCCAGAGGCATCACCTTCCCCTGGAGGTGGAGTCACAGTCCTTTGTGAGCCACCTGACAGGGGTGCTGGGGACTGAACTTTGGTCCCCGGGGAGAGCAGCATGTGCTTTTGTGCTGAGTCATCTCTCCAGCCCTTCCTGCTGTTCTAAATAAAGAACCATTCAAAGGTTCTAAAGGTCCGTCTGCATCTACTGGACAACTCTCCTGTGACTGCTCTTCTCACTTCCGGGGGTGGGGGTGGGGGGGGTGGCAATCCTGTCCCTCAGCCAGCTCTTTCCTGTAAAACTAGGTCTGGGGGTAAAATATAATCACCACACGAGTAGATGTGGCTTTCTGACATAGTGTAATGACCAGACCACAGCAAACAGAAAGGCTTTGCCAAGCTTCACATAACCGGAAGGAGTAGGTAAGAGGAGGAGGTACCCCCACTACAACACAGAAACATTTTCCTAAACTTCTCCTTGGTCACTGGTTGTCCCATGAAGTTACCCACCCTGCTCTTCTGAGCTGCCATGCACACCATGTATGCCCACCACGGAAGAGCCCAGAAGGGGAGTGTGAACGTGAGTGGCATGGGTCCTACACTCAGAATTTCTACTGTTATCAAATTGCGTAACCCACACCTAGCTCCGGTCTGTATCTGTGTCTCTGTCTCTACCCCATTTCTAGTTAGCACCCCAGGAGTTGGGAAACCACATACAGCTGTCTTTTGATACCCTCAGAGGACTGGTGCCATGATCCCCTGCTGAAACTCCAGTCAAAGTAGCAGAGTGGCCACACAACCTTCACGCACGCTCTTGTACGCTTCAGCCTGCAGGTTACTGACGTCTATGCAGTGTCTTTATATACCTGTTTACATTGTTTAGTAAATGAGAAGAAAGAGACCTGCATGTGGCTAGTTCAGTTTTTAAAGGGTATTTCCTGTTTTGGTTGATTGAACCCTCAATGTTGAACCTGCGGATGTGAAAGATTAATTCCTTTGTGATGCTTCAAATCATGCCCTGGATTAGAAACAATGTAAGATATTATTTAAGGGTATGTAGGACTGTTATTATGTGAGGCATGCCACTTGGGTTTTAAAATAACAAATGAAGGGACATATGTGGTGGTATTGTGTTCCCCAAAATATTGTGTACCTTAATAAACTT